TATTTCTACCTTACCACTTTGTGTATCATCGTCAAGTGCCAGATCTGCAATAGACATAGGCGATCATGGTTCTCCATTTATTCCTTTGCTCGGATGCTAAAAAAAAAAGCTACATTATCCTGATCTTTTCGTGTCACTGTCGATCTTATCTCTCGTCCCCTTTTTCTTTGTGTGTTACTCTCTGGTAACACTTCTAATTTTCGGCACTTACATGACCTATTTGTGTTGCAATTGCCGATACAGTGAGCATCTGGTAGGTCGTACTTCTTTTCTTACCCTCCGGTACTTCTGAAGGTCTGTCTTACTCTTTCCCAGCACGAGATGACTGTGATTGTGTCAATGGGCTTCTCTTTATTCAAACAAACAAACAAGTGACGTAGAACTTATTAAAATTATACCCTTTCAGAAGGCGTTCGGTGGCGTCGGTATCTTAGTGGTTAGTCTTCTTCTTCTTCTGTCCCGTGGTTGGGGCAACCGTGGGGGCACCACTGCTTCTGACAACCAGCTCTCGCAATTTCTCTCTGTCCTCTGCTTTCCTCAGATTGTCACCCATCGTCTTCCCTGTCCACTCTGTGATGTTGTTCTCCCATCTCCTTCTCCGCCTTCCTCTCTTTTTCTTTCCCTGTACGGTTAGTCTACCGGACTCGTAATCGTGAGATTATGGGTTCGGGGTTTCGAGCCTCAGCTCGGCTCGACGTCGTGTCCTTGGGAAAGGCACTTTACTCGAATTTCTCACTCGGTTGTTTTTTTCTGAGATGGACGTTAGAACTCGGGAATCCCGTCTCTTAAACGACCTAACAGCGTTGATAGGGGCGTTAAACCTAATCTATGTGGGTCGTTGGCGGGTGCTCTGGTGTGGTTTGCTCCTTCTTTCCTATCAAACATCTATCGTCCTGATCTCTCCTCCTTTTTGTGTTTGTTACACTCTTGTAACACCTCTAATCTTCGGCACTTAAATGACCGTATTGTGTTGCAAGTGCCGTAACACTTTTACTAAAACAAAAAAAAGACACATAATAATATAATTTTGTTCGCCAGACGGTGTTCCAGTGTGACTTCCTCTCCCTGACCATCTCCCGACCTCTGACCCCGCCGGCCTTGACCTCTCACCTGTCCGCCATGTCTAGCCCCGTGACGCAGTTGCCCAGCGGAGCCTTCCATGTGGTCGTCTTCTCACTTCTGCTGGAGTACATGCCCTCACGTCTGCAGAGGTGGCGCTGCTGCCTCAAGGCGCATGCGCTGTTGGCGGTGAACGGCCTTCTGATTGTTGTCACTCCTGATTCGCATAGGTAATGCAACCCCACCCCCA